TATTGTCAGCAACAGTAATCAGTGAGCAATTCTAAATAACTTACTTTGGCAAATCTATTAAAATGCTCTGAGTTCACTGTAACTGATTTCGTCTTCTGGGAATCATAGACAACTGTTGCTCCCAGTGGAGTGTTTTTCTGGGTCATGATGGCATTCTCAAAACCATTGCACTTGAGGCTAAGCTGAGTCCTGGGAAACCAAAAAAATACAGAGAAATAAAACAGTTTGCTTGGATGTAAGGAGTGCAGAGACAGAGGAAACTCTATATAATGCCTATTACTAAGGCTATGCTGGGCTGACGTGATATGCTGAGCTGACACAACACCGGACTGGAGCAGAGCAAATAGCCATCCTACAAGTATTACTTTCTTGTGATTGGCTTATACAAGGGAGATATGTGATTGGTTGCAAATCATTGCCTGTATAAAAAAAATGCATTTGTGTATCGAGGCACGTCAAGAGAGTCTTAAAAATCCAGACACAAATGCAGTGAAGCTTAAAGACCAATGGTACTTTGTAATTTAATTTATAATGTTTATGGACCAGAAATACTTTGGTGAATGCATGTGTGAATCTTGTATGCTTGCGTGAATCATGCTGTGTGTGTGTGTGTGGAGCTGGTCTTGTGCATGTATGAATCACATATGTGTATTTGTGAAGACTGAGACCGATTTAGCTCCATATATAAGCCTCTTCATAATAGACAATCTGCATTATAAAAGAACTATAAGGAGATGGCCACAGGAAGCTGAAGAAGCTTTGCAAGGTTGTTTTGAGGCTACAGCACTGTTAGCCACATGGAGAGGATATCAAAGCAATGACTGAGTTTGCAACTGACCACATGGACTTCTGTGTAAGGAGGCACACAGAAGGAGGCAGAAAAGCAACCTCCAGCAGAACAATATCAGAGATGTGTGATCAGGGAAAAAAGACCACAATCAAAATGATGATCAGCAGATGGTAGTCTGGACAGGATCAATGAATTGAATACCTTCTTCAACAGGTCCAGTTCAGGAACAAACTCAGCATCCTTCTCTCTTGCCCTCAGACACATGGAAATATTGCCCTCCTCTGCCATTGACTCTCCTGCTTCTAGAAATTTGTTCTCAACCAAATCTGAAAAAATGCTGCTGGGTCGTCGGGCCCTCGATTGTTCTCGTCTGCTCTTCTCTGGTGGGTGTGGCCATCCCTTTGTCAGCCCTCCTTAAATCTCAGGGATTTGGGGTTCCCTTGGATAACCAGGGCTCGGAGTGTGTCTTTTTTGGTCGTGGACGAGTCTGTGGCTGTTCACACCTTCTATTGAGTGCATTTTACTTTTGAAGAAGCTTTCTTTTTTTCTCTCTGTCTGTTTGTCTGTGCATCCATCCATGTGACTCAATGTAGTCAGCTAAGTTTTGTTAGGTAGAAAACTTTTAACCTTAATCTGACTCTATGATATGAATGAATTGGCTTCGTAAAGAGTCTTAAGATGACAAGTGTTTTGAAATGGCGCTATATAGGTAAACAGAAGAATAATTTATGCATCTACATGGCATCCAATTATCTGAATAAAAACAAGACTGAATTAATCATTTTTGGCACAAATGAAGACTGAATAAATGTCAGCACATAGATTCAGTTATAAAATAAAGTTTTAAGTTTGGCCTTTTACTACAAGAAGGAACTTAAATTTTACTTGAAATGATACAAGTGATGATGTGCTTATCATTTCACAGAACTTGTTCCATTATTATGGGTTATTTTATACATCAATATTTCATGAAACAGCTTACCAAATGCATCTCTGTTCATAACAAATAAATGATGACTGTTAAAGACCTTGACTTTACCTGATTGCCTCGTGCCTGCTTTCATTTTTAACCCAGGGTTTAGAGTAATTCTTCAGAATTTCATCTATTGTCTTCCTGTTGTACATCAACAAATGCATATACCCAGTTAGGTCTTGGAACATTTCTTACATTACTTATATTGAGTGAAGAAAATGCAGACATCGAATTAAAGGCAAGGGATAAAAATTGTGTAGCTTGATCTCACCTGCAGTCTTTGCAAGAATTAGAGGACTTAGGAGGCCGTGGCTCAGGTTTCTTATTGCTGTAATTCAGAAAAAGAAAGGATTCTGTATGTGTCAATGACTTCTTAAATATAATTACAAGATTCTATCATTGATCATACTGTATGAGATGTGTAAACATTGAGATTTTGCTTCATTTTAAATGTTTAAACAACTTTTTCACTAACATGCTGCTGTGTACCCTGATCCTCATGACGGAATTTATTCTCCATTCCGCCTAAAGCTGTCACAGAAGAGTTGGATTTATAATAAAATTAAATAACACAAATGTAGACTTTTTTAACTGATTAGTTTACTTCTAAAAGGAGCTGTACCCCCCCTAAATAACTTGGTTGGGAGAAAATGGAGATCAATAGAAATATATATAGCACTCCTCAAGTGGTGATTGTGAAAAGTTTTGATCTATTTTCTCTGACAAAATATTATGCTCTGCTTTGACTTTCCACTTAAACTCCCAATCTAATTCTCAAAATCAATCTCACAAATTCTTGATATTTAAAAAAAAAAGATATACTTACTAGATATTTTGAATTCTTTCTTTCCATGCTGGAGAGCAAACCTTCAATAGTTTGTTACTTTTAAACCTGAAACACACAGTGCACCACAGTACATAGTAATAAAAAAGCTAAATTGACATTTAATTACATGAAATTGAAAGCAGTAAGAGTCTGTTCTCACCTGCCCCACTTATACACATTTGTGGTTTTGTTCTGTACAAGGAATGACGGAAGCTGTCCGTTAAGAAGATTCCAGTCACTAACAAAAAGAAAAAAGTGATCTTATTATTTTATAGTTTTTCCTTAGATTTAAGTGTGGTTACTAGTTTAAGTTGTGCTTTAACAAAAAAAAACCTATAATATACTGCTGTTTTAATAGTGGAATGGAGTAATAACACAAGAATAATCACCTTTACTCCTGATTGCAAAACAATCTATCCCTTTAGAAACATTAAGCAGCAATTGAGGAATATTGTCAAGTTAAGGGTCTTTCTCAGGGACCCTGAGTTATATTCCAGGGTTTGAATCACCAATCTCGTAGCTTCTCCAAGACACATATGCCCTCCTCTCTGACCACTGGACGACCATGAAGGCTCCCTTTCAGTAAAGCAGTCTCTTATTTTAGTGGATTTATAGGTAAAATTCTTTAAAACTCTTTTTGCTATCATTATGAGAATTCATTGTAGAATAAATAGAAATATAATATCCCTTTATTGTCCCACTATGGGGACATTTTTGTCTTACAGCAAAAGCATAACAGCAAACATCTTCACACAAATGTGGACCTTCAAAAATGCATAAAAATAACAGTAAGTAACAGTTAAAAAAAACCAAATACTGTACTGAACAGTGTTTTTACAATATAAAACGCTGTGCAATCATCTGAAGAATAAACAATTAATATACAGCTGTGGACATTTTTAAAGCAATGGATATGTGAAAATAACAGCAACACCGGATATGTGCAATTATGATTGCGATGTTGATAATTCTCTAGATTAAAAATACAAAACAAAACAGCAATTTTAATGGTTGGGTATTATCAACAAATGAATTTTGGGTTGTCACTAGATGGACCTAACCTAATTTGATTCACTGCTTAGTGACTAGTTGTAGGATACAGTCTTTGGTCAAAATGTTAACATTATAGTTTTGAGAATAATTACATATTGGAGGTTGTACCTTTCTCCTTCCTCCTTCACTGCATTTGAGGCTTTTTCACATAGATCATTTACAAATATATGTTGAGAGGCTTGGAATTTCTAAAATAAAACAGCATAATTACTGAGACATGTGAAATGGCTTACCAGAATTATTCAAACCCCTATGCTTAGTTCTCAATGACAATATGAAAGATGGCGTAGTTTAATTTGTTGCTGTACATCTGTATTCTATACTGCTTTATCCACCTCCCAACTGCATGTCGTTGCCACACTTTAAGAGCCACACTTAAGCTGGTTGAAAATCACCCAATATGTAAAGGCGTTCTTTGAAGTTTTCTTTATAACAGATGAGAGTGGTCATCAGGTTCAGATTCAGATAGAGTAAGGGCACACCCCTTATGAGTTTTCCTTTTCATGCTGTTTTCAACTGCTTTTTAATTCCATTTTATGTCATCTGACTCAAACTGTTTGCTGTCTACTTTTTGTTTTGCCCTCTGTCACCTAAGATATTCCCCCGTCTCTTGTACCTTGACCCTTAGGTCATAAATCAACATATACTGTAACTTTATCTTACTATTAGCAGAATCTGGAATTCTTGTGTGATATTTGAATTTTCTGTTAGATAACACATTTTTCTTAAATAATTTTTTCTAAATTTTTGTCATAGGAGATGATTTCTTATAACAAAATTTAGTAACTTGTACAGAACACAACAATTCAGACAGTCAGAGGTTATGGTTTATTTACTCATTTTTTAAATACAGGAACTAGAATTAAATAAAAAAAATAATTTCATCTGAGTTCATGTTCAGTTTAAAAGCTGTATTAATAATCTCGTAAGAAAATCTACTTTCGGTTTCGGGTAATGTTCAAATGTGCTAACTAAGCAGTCCGTAGAAAAAGCTGTCAGGGCAATTTAAGACAAAGACCCAAAAGTATTTTCATGGTAAGTGACAAACACAACATTTGTCCAGTCCTAAGAAAACGCTGTTATCACACCTGTCATACAAAAACAGTGTTGCATGTGGGCCCCTTAACAGGGAGCTAACCAAGCAGGACAAAAAGAAAATGTCTATCACCCGTAAAATCATTTCACCAATAGTTTCCCGTGGATTGTTTATTGATAATAAAACCTGCTGAAAAACTTGAATATCAAGACATTTTCTGTAAATAATTAGCCAAACATTAATGTAAAAGGTTGAGCCAGTAAGGTTAGTTGACCAAGTCTTTACATATAAAATGCCATTGAAAACAAACCGTTCAATGGGATCTTATAAACACAGTGACCTTTGAATATGCTAACAAAGGTAAACCTTTAACACATTTTTCATCTCCTGTAATAACATATAATGTTAAAGGAACCCTGTGTGTTTGCACCTTGAAGCTTTCTCTCTCCGGTTCTTTTTCCCGAAAAGAGTTAACTCGCAACAAACTCTTTAACTAACACTTCATTATGTATATGTGTTAAATAACTATTAGACATGTAAACAGAATTTATAGAAATTATAATCTTACTCAGATCAGAGAAGTTGCTTATTGTTACAGAAGGCAGCACTTACCAACCAGGCAAACATCTCATGAATTGGGCCCTGATTCACCGTTACACAATCTTTTTATACATCTCCTGTCTGCCACATCATCACATCATTTCATCATTCATGTTTGCAGATGTGGAGACATCCGTGGCTCCAGCATTATCAAAATATTACACTTTGTTCTTTGCTGAGGGACACCGCTCTCATTCCATTCCCAAATATTTGCCACATACTGAATGAAGTTTATAACTGGTTATCCGGACAGAGGAACTCTCCTAATTAGATAAACTACTGGGGAAAACATCAGTTCTGACATGCAACAGGCAGGTAATATTAGGGTGTGATAAACTCAAACATAATCAATGATAATTATCCTAACACACATCTTCTGCATACAATAATTGCCTGGATTCTCCCTTGACATAAAAATAGCACAAGCAAAAAAAAACAAAAAAACATGCAGTATCTTCCTGCTCCCAGAGGGAAAACAATGATACAGAAAAAATGAGACCAAAATAGTTAATTGCTAAAATAATCAGCAAGTACCAATCTAGAACTAAATCACCAGATTTTCTTTCTATTCAAATTGAAAAGCTGAATCTGTTTGGGGAGTGCTGTTAATCAAAATTATGATGAAAAATGGAAATGGAAACTTTCACATTAAAACCTCAAAAGAATTCTCTAGTTGTATTTCACACAAAACAAGTTGCTTCTCCAAGACAGTAAATGTTTGCATTTTTTATTGATGCTGGGAAATACCTTCTTTTTTTTTTTTTATTTGTTTATTCGAGGTTCTTATTAATAAAAAATAATGTATCACTTTAGGAAAAAAAACTGCAGCTCCTCATATTCCAGCAACAGTATTTTCTGTCATCAGAAAAAACTGACACTTACTGACATTTACTACAACAAAGACTAAAGTATGATTGTGCTACTATTGAAGAAACTTACTTGCTGTCGAATGTTGTGCAGATTAAATAAGTCAGCAGGATGCCCAAAACAAGCGAAGGCAAATGTCGTACGAGTTGTCCCCTCATATCTTCTTGTTCTGTTAATCACACTGCATGCTCCTCCACCCGACTGCTGACTGATTGTCATTCCTGCTGTCATGTCAGAGTTTCTTTCTACATTGTATTCCTGTAAAACCAGCTCAGTTTAGTAACACCTACAGCAATTCTCCTACAGTAGGGAACTTTGTCCTCTGGCCCCATAGGAGCTCACTGAGCTGACCTGGGGTAAAGCGGTATTAGTCAGTGGTTTGGAGGACTGAACTGTGAGTTCTCTCACCTTTAAATTCGGAAGGATATCAAAACTTAAAATGGGACTTTTGCTTCTCATCTTTTGTCCACTGCAAATATAACAAATAATTTAATGCTGAGGGCCGAAAAGAATTTAGTGAATGTGAGATGTATATCCCATACATAAGAGATAGTTGCTTTAGTATCATAAATATTACAAGCAGTTTGCACGCTTTTTCCTTGTTTTCACATTCCCTGTAAAACCCTTGAAGTTTATTATACATGAAAAAGAGAATAAATAGTTACTTCCTGACTGGATCCATACATTTTCATTAAAGAAAATAAGTTTTATTTTAGATTATTATCACTTTATTTGAGCTGTTTTTTTGGAGCCTTTATATTGATTTAGCTTTCTATTTTTTTTTTTCTTCAAGGCATTTCTATTTTGACTACATAGGAATATGTTTTTCCTAACCTAAAACAGCATTGTTGGAGAACAGAACATGTGAATTAATCTTTTCTCACAGTCAAAAGCAAAGAAAAGACACTCATTCTACAGGAAAACTTACCCTACCACTAAGTGGCAGTGTAGTTGTTTTTTCTAGGCAGTATTTCCAGGGAAAACGAAACATAAGAGACTTCAAAGACTTAAAATAAGAGCCATTGAACTGCAGACATACAAACGGATTTGGTTCCACCCATTTAAATACATTTGCCCATTTTTAAGAATTCGAAACTTTCATTTAAAACATTTATTTGTTTTAGGTCTATAAAGATTAGTCTGACAAGTATTTTTTTTTTTTAAATCAATTGGGATGACTTTATTTAAGGCAAAAAAAAGGCACCATACTTCGTCCTTAGTCTGTCAGGGTGAAGAAAGAGGTCAGTGTCTGAAAAGTTCTCTGTTTAAAATATGTGTTTTGTTTTTACTACAAACTAGGCACACATTTCAGAGTGGTAAAAATTCTCAAAAACGGGTACATTCAGTTTGCTGGTCTTATTGTTTAGTCACAAAGTTCTTAAAAAGGAGGTAGTTTGCTACTGTACTATTAAAACACATTAAACCACACTCTACCAAAAAAACAGGGTAATATAAGTCCCTAATTGCAGATGGCCTCACAAAGGCTCATGTTACAGCATAATAACTTCTTCTGAACTCCATCCAGAACAAAACAATAAATAAAGTTGCAGAAAAAGATACTATCTTGTTTACAGGCTGTGTGTTTAGATTTCAATCTCAGTGCATATTTTGTAACTGCTGATAGACGTGCTGAACTGTATGGCTATGATCAGTGTATTCTAAACAGTCCATTTATTTACTAGAAGATTATATGCATGTTGATGACTGGTTTCATCCTGAAGCAATGGAGAAAGGCACTTTGCTCTATGTGCTGAGGAGTCTAGTTTCCCTGTGCTTTGCAGTCTCCAAGGTGTAATTTAAGCACACCCTGGCTGTGCAACATCAACAAGTGGTTAAACTCCTCTGGCATGGCGTGAAACTTTGTTTTGGTTTTTCTATCATCATAATAGTGGTTAGTTAAGGTTTGAAAGCTGTGTGGGTGAACGTCGAAGGGCCAGAATCCATACAACTGCACATTGTCGCAGAGCTCCAAAGCAAGGCTTGTCATTATAATACCGGTGCTGAGTCGTAC